ATGGTAGGTCAGCTTCCTGAGAAATAGGGATGTTCAGAGCCATTTAAGACTTCATTTGCTTTGGAAGGGGAAGGAAGACAGGCCAAATCAGCATGATTAAGCAGCCCCCTCCAGAAAGCATATGTTCCTCATGAAACAAATAAGTAATGCTCATGAATAAAAATTTTCGTTGAATAGAATACAGAGAATTTTCTTCCTGATTATAGTTGATTCCATGTCTTTCAAGAAGTCAACCAAACAAGGATGGCAATGAATTCCATTATTGGGGGAGTCTTAACTTAGAAACCTCAAAAGTACATTTGAAATATAATCTAAAATAAATAAATTCCTTTTTGTCTTATGCATACCTCAAAGTTAAATATATTTTTGTCCCTTGTGTTCCTTAAGTCTTGAAAATCTAATTCAAATTTCTCTTTCCCTAATTTCTGTTGTCACATCCCTCATTAAGCACCTTATTGGTTTCTTTAACTAGAAATGTTTTTACTAATTCCTTTTTTCTAGTCACATCAATTTTAAACTTCCTTGGCCTGACTTTCAAAGCCTATTCTATCATATCAAACGTGACTTCATCATATTTTTCCAACTGACATTCTCCACTTTCCTGTTCTATTCACGCACATGTACACACGCGCACGCGCGCACACACACACACACACACACACACACTTACACAGTTTTAGAGTCTGTAGGATAGTGTACATAATCTGCCCACAACTGAACTGGAAGAGCAGCTCTCATCTTGACTTCCTGCTGTAGGTGGTCTTGTATACAAGTGACAAGAAGGATACCTTTAAAAAAAAAAAGTTTTAAAGTTTGTGTACAAAGCACTGTTGTTCTCCTCCAAAGGCATTACTTTATTTTTTCTCCATTGCTGTATGTTATCCAGAGCATTTTAGATCCTCTTTGTTTCATTTAAGAGCAATGAAAATATCTAGCTCTCTTGGGGAGATCATGCTATGCACTGCTCTTAAGTTATTTCATATTGTACAGAATAGTAGCTTTCAAGCTGTGTCTTGCCCCCAGGTAACTCCATTTTGTAAAATAGCAGTTTTCTGCATTTTGTTTCAAAAATATTTTTAAACTTCTTATGTTTAGTTTTAAAAATCTATGACTACTAAGCTATTTTAAACATTTGGGGAGTTCTCAAGGAGAAGGAAGTCATCAGAGCAAAGATCATAACACTGATGTTGGAGATAGAGTATCTAGAATAACTAGAAAACCACCCTTTTTGGTGTCAGCTCTGTGAATTTTGACAAATGCAGGTTTGTTTGTTTTTTTCATACTGGAGTCTTACTCTGTTGCCCATCCCCACCTCAACCTCTTCCTGGCTTCCTGAGATTACAGTGGCATACTACCATGCCAGTTATACATGCAGTTTTGTAACCAGTCTGTGCACATCACAGTTCCATCACCCAAAATTGTCTCCTGTGCTGTCTGTAGTTAAGCTTTTTCCCTACTCCCTGGTACCCACTAATGTTTTCTTTCCCTAGTTTTTACAAACTTGTTTTAAAATAAAAATTTTTAAACTAAAAAGAATTGCTCTACGAAGAAACGGGTACTTAGGTTTTTAAAGAATGAGTGGGATTCTGCCAAGCACATTGGAAAGAAAAGACCAGGAAAAGGGTATTCTAGGCAAAATGAACCCCAAGGACAAAACCATGAAGGTGGGTATCCTGGGGAACTGTAAATAGTTCATCAATATGAGCACAAGACAGTTGGAGGCACAGGTTATGGGGAGGTTTTAGTAGTTTGCTTGTTCAGAGTCAAGCGAAGAGGAGTGTGCAGGCCAGACATTTTATGCCCTGTGTAGAGTTTGTATGTGACTTTAGGATTCCTCATAGGAAAGGATTTGTTGGGATAATCTTTGCTGCTACAGTATATTCTTTTATTACTTTACTTATCATATTATTTATTTATAATACTTTCTTGTTCTGTTCCATTTTTTAATTTCCAGGTTAGGCCAATTGTCTAGCACAAAGTAGACATTGAATACTTGAAGAATGAATTAGAAGTTTGTTACATAAAGGTCATAGAAATACCTTCCTTGTTCTCTTAGAAGAGATGGTGTCACTCCATTTTCCTTCTTGGAATAATTACTGCAGGTCCTCTCTGAGGCAAATCATTCAGGTGCATTACCTTCCTGCTTATTTCTACATAAGATTTTCCAAAGCAAGCTGAAATCTTGAGTGTTAAAGTGTATTTTACCACCATCTAGTGGTGATCTTGAGACCTAACCAAATTGAAAGTTCCATATTTGATAAACAACTAATAATTTCAAATAAGATGAGCTTCTAACACTTTGGGAATTGCTGAAGTTCTGTACTTAATATGGTACTTTGTTAAGTTTCTGCCACTGTCTTCAAGTTAATATTTAGGTATAACTTATAATTGTTAATGATTTTATGCGTGGTTTTGTTTTTGTTTTTTGAGACAGATTCTTGCCATGTAGACCAAGTTGGTGTTCAACTTACCGTGTAGTTCAGACTGGTCTCAAACTCTTGATCCTCCTGCCTCAGCCTCCTAAGTGTTGGGATTACAGGCATTCACCCATGCCCAATTCCTATGCATATATTTTAATTCTATTGTGCAAACTTGCCTAGAGATTTTGATTACAAATATTTTATTTGATCTAAAATAGAATTCCAGAGAATGACCTCTTAGTGGCTGTAAGAACTATCCAGTGAGAAAATACATTATTGCAGGTTAAGTCAGAAAGACTTAAGTGGTATATTTTACTTTTTATTACTTTTGTGGGTCTTTAAACATGAGTTGTGCGCACATCTTGCTGGTGACTTGGAATTGATTGACAGCTGAGGCATGGATTGCATTATTATTGCATTCATTCCTCATGTGTAGGGGTTGCTGTGATTTCAATAGTAAGGTTAAAAAATAGAAGCATTTATTAAAAATCTCCTTTATGCATTACATAACAGAAATGTAAGATAAATTGCCTTTAAAATAAAATTTAAAAAACCAGCCTCAATGCCAGAAGGATAGAGGAATATAATTAATACTATTTCAAATGGAGAAGCTACAACTCAAGGAGGTTTCATAGGTTTCACAAGGTCTCACTGCTATTAAGTTTATAGTGTGAGGATTCAGGCTCATATATAAAGGACTCCAAAGTCAGTGCTTTTAGAATCCACATAAACTTTCTGACAATAGAGAGGATGAACAGGAAAACCACAGCAGAAAAAAAAATGCACAGGAAACTTCAAAATGGATAATAATACCACTTGATAAAAATCTTGGTTTTAATTTATTGTTGTTGACATCATTCTGCATCTATTTGTTTCCATTCCTAATTTGAGCTGACCACCTTCATTCCAGCTTAAAGGGGATTTAAGGATCTTGCCTTTTGGTACCAAATACTTACTCATTTCTCCTGCCCTATTGGCCATACAGCAAGGGTACTTAGAGACAAGCTGTCTGAGAACCAGCATTTTGCTTGTGTGGGCATCCCATTCAGCTCTTGGAAGGGAGATACGTATTTAATCAACTGCACTGAAAATGTTTGGGGAAATAATTACTGAACATGTACAACCTTTTCCTATCATCATTCCCTATACAATGTAGTCTGACATCTACTTACATATCATATACATTGTATTAGGTATTATAAGTAACCTAGAGATGATTTAAAGTATATAGTAGGATATATGTAGGCTCTATTGGATTTGAGCATCCACCAATTTTGGTACCTTTGGAGAGGGGCTTCCGAGGACCTGTCTTCCATGGATTACAAGGGACAACTTTACAGGTCTACCTGTGTGCCTTGGCAGATGGAGTATGTGGGTTGCAACCATTTCTGAAGAAATAGTCAAGCTCTGGTTCACATATGTTTTAGGTGTGGATTATTGTGTAAATAGTATATATATGATATATATAATGTTTTCTACATTTTGTTTACATTTCTCGTTTGTGTAAATTTGTGTCAGTATCAACAGTTTCAGTCATGGGATTTTTACTGTTTTTTCTTTGTTCCTATGGCCTCCTCCAACCTGCTTGTGTGGTCTTCCTCGTCATTTCCTCCATATCACAAGGATGCGTAAAATAAAACATGTATTCTTCCATATTTTTTCTTGCTTAGCATGTACTCATTTGTTAAATATAATATATATATAAAATATATGGAAAGGTAGGTTCATATTACATATACTTTTAAAAATACATATACCTTCAACAGGTACCTCATTCCTGAGAATCTTTCCAATAGAAATAAAAGGACTAATTTGTAAGAGCAGAGTGTTTTCTGCAGTATTGTTCATAGTAGCAAAAGGAAGGGAAATCACTGAATAAATCATGATGTATCTACACCATGGGATTTTAGGCAGTCACTAAAAAAAATAATAATAAATTTGATGCCAGAAGTATCTTCGATTCCATTCTCTCTGTTACGGATTTTACTGTGTTTAGTCCTTTAGTGACATTTTAGTGAGGTTTCAAAAGGGGGAAGAAACAAGTGTCTGGAACAGGCCTCTTTATAATTGAAAATCTGGCTAAGTAAATTTCAAGACCTGATTTAACTTCTATTTCTTTTTCTCCTAGAGCTTTGAGGTTTTCTTTATTTTTTTTCCTCTTCTTACTCTTCTGTATTTTGGAAACAAGTTAAATTCTTTCAGCTTGCCTGACTTGTAACTCTGACTGGTCTTTTCTACCAGTGGCATCTAAAGGGCATAGCTTCAAACATCATTTCTAAAAGTAAACTCATTCATGTATGAAAATAGAAAAATGAGACCTAAGGAGGAGAATAATGGAGGGGGTGAATTTTGCTAAGATATGTTGTAAACACTTTTGTAAATGTCACAAAGTACCGCCAGTACAACAATAATATAATAAAAATTTTCTTAAATAAATTTTTTTAAAAAAGAACCAATGAAATGTCAGTTCATAAATTGTTCCTGGAAATTTGGACTTGCTTGGAAATAAGAGACTCATGAAAAAGAAATAGTATTCCTATGTAACAACAGCCACATCCCTTTTCTTTTGTTCTTGTACAGATTTGAGAAAGGGCGTATCTACACGTTCATTGGAGAAGTTGTCGTTTCTGTGAATCCTTACAAGTCACTGAACATCTATGGGAGGGACACAATCGAACAGTATAGAGGTCGTGAGCTGTATGAGAGACCCCCTCATCTGTTTGCTATTGCTGATGCTGCTTACAAGGCTATGAAGAGGCGCTCAAAAGACACCTGTATTGTGATATCAGGTACTTGCAGGGGGTCCTTGGTCCCTCCAAGGTCAGCTGTATATAATTTATTTGGTACTCAACGATCCACACAATTGCTCAAATCATTCTTTTAAGATTGAAAACCTAGCCAATTTTACAGGGACTAAAAGAGTAATGAACATTAAATATCAAATTATTTATATAATTTCTGATCATCCTCTAGTCTTGGTTCTGGAGGCTGAGGCAAGAGGATCATTTCAGCTCAGGAGTTCAACGCCAGTTTGGGACATAATGAGACCCCCACCCAATCTCATTTAAAAAGTAGAAAGAGACTTCTAGTCAGTTTGTAGACTAAGCTAGCATGGAATATGCTTTCACCTGTCTCATACACATAAAAGTACCATGTAAAATGTAGCAAGAATATTTTAAATAGAATAGGTTGAAACCAAGAAAATGAAATACTGAGATGCTAAATGTGAAGAGTGAACTCAGGATTGGTCTGGTACTTTGGAGCTGGTGTTGAGGCACATGTAGAAGCTTGAGGGCCAGAAATAGGCTTTCAGAACTCAGGACCTGAGCTTTAAAGCCCATGAGAAGGGATTGGGCTACAGCTCTGTGTGCAGAGAACTGGAACTGAGCTACCCATGCAAATAAAATGAGGCCAAGGAAAATATCTTTCTACTGGCCCAAGATGGCCACTCCCAAACTGGGATTTCCTGTTGGTGCTAACAGTAGTTTGCATTTGCATTAGTAGTTTTGTGCTTTAAAAAATGCTTCTGTGATCATTATTTTATTTTTGGTTATCAAAACAATTCTCTGAATAGTATGTGGAATAGTTTTTCTACTTTGTGGATAAGAATATTAAGGGTCAGAAGGTTAAATAACTTAATGTTAGAGTTAAAAGGATTATATCCTAGAACTACATCATATCAAAACAAATTACAAAACCAGTGTTACCTAGTTGTAGAAAGTACAAAAGCAGTTACACATGCATATAAACTAAAAGCAAAAAGTCCCTTCCTCTTCATTTCCTCAACATTCCAGCAGCAGTAATAGCTATTTAGTATTTATCCTTTTTTACATTTTCCCTGTGTGTGAAGTTACATATAGTCACATATGCTTATATAATTATTAATAAATGTTGAATAATAATAATAAATGCTATTACATAACATGTTTCCATTCAACAGTATTTGAAACCAGTTTATTGTATTTAACAATTGCGTAGCATTCCACTGAATAATTGAATCATAATTTGTCCAGTTCTCTGCTAATGGGTATATCATCTCTACATTTTGGCTATAACATACAACATAATCTACAGAAATAGTTTTAAAACCTTTGAAGATTAACATTATACTACTATTATTTGGTTGGGTTAATATTTTTAAATATTCCTTAGGTGAAATCTTTGTAGGTGGAATTTTGGAATCAGAAGAGATAGGTAGGGTTTGCAAATATAAGTCAGTGGTAGTGCACTTGCCCAGCATGTGCAAGGGCCATGCATTTAATCCTTAGCATTGAAAAAAGAAAACTAGAAGGCATAGGTACAATTTCTAAATGATCCTTTCCCTTCATACCCATCAATTATACCCCTTGTTGTGGTTTTTCTCTGATACCTTTTGTCTGGGCCTTGCTGTTACAACTTTTCACTCAAATTACTCTAACTTTAATTTTATTTTTTAAGAGATGGGTTTTTACTATGTTGCGTAAGCAGAACTCAGTCAATCCTCCCTTTGACTTCCTGAGTAGCTGGGACTACAGGCACAAACCATGATACCTGGCTCTAACTTTTAAAATGAATTATTTTATCTCCTTTAAGATTAAAAAAATTCTTCTTTAGAAAATAAGACTATATGAATTTAGCTGTGGCCTCTGTTTGAATCACCACCTTATTTTGTTTCTACTGAATTTAGGAGTCAATGGCTATTTTAAAACTAAGAAATTAGCTTGCTGCATTTTATCCCATGATATTTTTTCCTTAAATAAATCTTTTTTTTTTTTTTTTTTGGCGGTACTGGGGCTTGAACTCAGGCCTTCACCTTGAGCCACTTCACCAGTCCTTTTTTGTGATGGGTTTTTCAAGATAGGTTCTTGCAAACTATTTGTCCAGTCTGGCTTTGAACAGCAATCCTCTGATTTCTGTCTCCTGAGTAGCTAGGATTACAAGCGTGAACCACCGGTACCCAGCACTCCTTAAATAAATCTTGATTTGTAATCTACTTGTTATTTTACTTCTGTAGTAGTTTTGTTGTTTTCAACATGTTCAGATCTATTAGAACCAATACAGGACAAAATACCTCACAACAAAACAGTGCAACATAAGGAATTTTAAATGAATTCATCACATCATTTAGCTGTGGGCTGGTAGCTTACATCTGTAATCCCAGGTATTTGGAAAACAGAGATCAAAAGTATCTGGTTTGAGGCCAGCCCTGGCAAAAGTTCCCAAGACCCCATCTCAACTAATAGCTTGTGTGGTGTTACACACCTGTCATTTTCACTTACATGAGATTGGGGAGGATCTTGATTCTAGGCCCACCTGAGCAAAACGTTCACAAGAACCTTGTCAACAGAAAAGGCTGGGTGTGATGGTGCATGCCTGTCATCCCACCTACTGTGGGAAGCATAAACAGGAGAATCACCATCCAGCCAGGCAAAAAAGCAAGACCCTATCTCAAAAATAACCACAACAAAAAGGGATTGGGGCATGGCTTTAGTAGTAGAGCACCTGCCTAACAAGAAGCACAAAGCCCTGAGTTCAACCCCTAGTACTGCCAAAAAATTTTTTAATTATTCTATTGAAGATTAGTTTATTCTTCATTTAAATTATGGCATTAAGTCCTACACAATTCTTCCTTCCAGGAGAAAGTGGAGCTGGTAAAACGGAGGCCAGTAAGTACATTATGCAGTATATTGCAGCCATCACCAACCCCAGCCAGAGAGCAGAAGTTGAAAGGTAAGGGCATCTCATAGCCAGAGAGATTCTGATGGGAGGCTTCACTTTCTGTATGAACTTGGCTAGGCCTAAACTAATAGCCAGCAAATGTTTTTTAATAATTAAACTGCTTTGATTCTTCTCTTTTATTATTTCTCTACTTTTATTTACATCACTAGATCTATTTCCAGATTTTTTAGTAGAAAAATACTATTCTGGTCAGTTTTACCAAGTTATTAAAGAAAAAAAAAAGTTGTTCCAAAATAGTGAGAAGTATCCCATTCTAGCTTAAATCATTGCCTTAAATGTGGTTGATTTAGCTACTGTGACCTATGCCGGTAGTTTTTATTGTTTAAGCTGTCATGGGTTCCTTGCCTTTTATTTTTTAAACTGTGCTATGAGTGAAATGGGGCTCTGGAAGGTGGACCCATGCCTTTCCATCACTGGTGCTGGGAGTTTCAAGAAAGATTCAATTCTAAAAGGATCTCGTGCCTTGCTGGGCTCATGGTCAGATGAGAAACAAAGTGGTCTGTACTGTGTGGGGCCCTACATTTAGGAGAGTGGCTGGCATATAGTATTTGCTTAATAAGTAATATAAGGAACATATGGATAGGTTTTTAAAACACATGACTATAAAGCAACATGACTTAACTTTCATATGTGATGCAGCCTTTTTGAAGAGGAAAAAAAGAAATGTTTTCCTAATTGGCTGCTTTGAAGCTGAATATTTACTGAAGAATCACACCTCATCTACACATCACCATCTTCAAGATCTTGGGTTGATGTGAAGGAAGGGAATTTAGACTATTTGATGGCCCTAGGTGGGCTTTTCTTTTCATTCTAACTGGGCAGGATTGCCAGGTCAAATCTTAGTTGTGACATATTCCCACTTCTGACTTAGGCTTTGCAGTCTAACTTGGTAAGGATGAAGATTTGGTCATATTTTGAGGAGTTCAGGAAAGTAACTAGCTGAAAACTAATTTTATTTCTAGTATAGTAGAGTAAGGCATATGTAAATTTATTCATCTTTCAACTGAATATCGTACCATAATTTTTAAGTTTCCTGTGTGAGTAAGCACACACATTTTAAAAACATACTTTCATTCATGGAGAGCAGGTTGAAGGGTCACTTGCAATAGTAGCAGAAGGAACCGCGGATCTACTTCGTTAGGTTATTTCAGAGGCCGCAGTTACTGATGTGGGTATGCCTATATGAGAGGAATTTTGTCAGTGAAAGCTGGACATACCAATTAGCATGCAGTTAAAATGTATCCACTAGCAGGGACTGCTCTATAGAAAGTTGCCACTCAGGGAATAAAGAATGCATTTAATGATTAATATAAAGGGGGATTCCATATAGCTTCAAAGAAAATAATGAGCGATTCCTAAATTAGTAAAGAACCAATTTATTGTATATAGCTAGGTACAACAAAATTTCACTCCTATAGGCTTAATAAACAGGTACTTTCATAGTTTTCTCTTTTTCTGTATCATCTATTCTTTTTCTTTTCAAAACACGTATTTTAAATTTTTTTAACTTTATATAAATAAAACACATTCATTTGAAAGAAAAGCCAAAAAAAAAAAAAAAACAGAATTATATAAGGTAAAAGTGTCCTGAAATCCTGCCTTGCCCATCCCATCAATATCTTTTCTAGATAACCAAAGTGGTATGTGCCTTTCCCTTCAGATTTTTAAACATTTACTAACACATGTATGTACATAGACACTTCACATACATGTATAAACACACACAGGTCAGGGAATACATATTTTTCAATTTGATTCACATTTATTAACACATTCTGGACACCTTTCTATGTCAGCATATATAGATGTACTTTCTTTTTAACATCTGTGTAGCATTTCATAATATTGGGAAGCAAAAATGTGTTAAATATCCCTGTTGATGGACATTTAAATTGTTTATATGTATTTTAAATTACAAACAATGCTGCAGTCAGCCAGCATTTTTGTATAAATATTTCATTTGTTTTAGCAAAATCCAGGTTTTTAAAAGTCCTAGTCTGAAACTTTTTATAATAACTTTAATTTATGTTACAGAGTGAAGAATATGTTGCTGAAGTCCAACTGTGTTTTGGAAGCTTTTGGAAATGCTAAAACCAACCGTAATGACAACTCAAGCAGGTTTGGAAAATACATGGATATCAACTTTGACTTCAAGGGAGACCCTATTGGTGGACATATTAATAACTACTTATTAGAGAAGGTAAAAGGTGCTTAATTTCTAAGGGCAATGTTTATAAGTGCTGTATGTTCAAAAAATACCTGGTTATATTTGTAGAATTTCACTTACTGCCTTAAAGTAGCTTTTAATCCTACTCTCCTTCTCAAATTTACTTTCTGTGGTAAGATATTCTCCTTTTGTGTTCTCTTATTAGCACCCACTATGTCAAGTTGGAAAATGTTGTGGACTTTGTAAATACAGATTTGGAGGTGTATGTGTGTGTGGAGGGAGAAGGGGCAGGGGTGTGAATGTGTGCCAAATTCTGGGTAAGGTTTAACCAAAAACCAATCTAGGACTAATGAGAGCTAGTCTTTTGTACATCACCATATTCCATCCACTTTAACTTCAATTAATTTTAAATTTCCTTTTCTTCCAGTTTCTATCTGTTCATTATTTTATATTGAATTATTTACATATAGTATCATATATGTATTTTGTGATCTTACATTCTGATTATGAAGTGTTCTGTATTTGGTCAGTAAAAACTTAGAATATGTTTTTATCTGCCTATATGAGTGCTAGGCCTGATTTCTAGAAGATTCCAATTAAAAGTTTCCTTTTGGGACTGTCTGGGAGGTTATGTCCTAATTCATTTTTCCTCTTGGGACTGTCGGAGAGGTTATGTCCTAACTCATCTTGAGTATACTGGCCCTGACTGCAGGAGAGCACGTGGCATTCATTCTCCCAAGTTTCACAGTTCTGCTGTGCTGTACACCTGAAATGTGCTCTGATCTAAGCTCATGTGCCTTCTCAGTTAAGGGTCTCCCATCCCACATAAACATTTTTTATGGCAGTACAGTATTGTTATATTGAGGTCATACTCTTAAGGAAATACGTGTTTTATCAGAGTCTGTTGAAAAAACAGGAAATGCCAAGTATTACCAGTCTCTTTTCCAAAATGTTTCAGGACTCCACTGTACATATTCATCCAAAAGGATCCCCTTGAATGAACACACATTTTGAGCCCTTTCCATTTTCAGCAGTCTTTTTTGGGACCATCTAAGAAAATGGTCTCTGGGGACTGATCTTGCTAAGCATTTTATTACAGGATATAAGGCATTGCTCCTTGAAATGCCAGCAGACCCTGAGGAAGGGAATGCTGAGAATGTTCCTCTCTAGCATTCCTTCCTGTTCCCCCCACTCCACTCACTATTTCTACCAAATACCATCTTTAGGCTCCAGGTTTAAAATAAAATAGCTTCATTCTTCAGAAAGTTAAGGGGCCTCTGTTTAAAGTGATAAGAAGAATTATCAAAACAATTCCAGGGAAGCACCATGAAAAACACCTAGGCTTAGGCAAGTTCTATCTGCAGAGTCTTTAAGACATGTAAATTCACTATGGATACAAGAGTCCCTAAGAAAGTGGATTCCATTTTATTTTATGGCTGTATTTTCAGATTGACTGTTTCAATGTGTTTTTTCTTAGTCTCGAGTGATTGTGCAACAGCCAGGAGAAAGAAGCTTTCATTCTTTCTATCAGGTTAGTAATCTTCTGCTATGCAGAGAATTGATCATTTGCTCAGTCGTGTAGGAAATGAGTATCTTTGTATTGGCCTCCTGCCTGTTCTTGCTTGCTTCACATTCATTGGCCCCCCTGCACATACTCTATCTTACCTCCTCCTTATGAGATGTGATTAGCCTGTCTGTTGTGAGAGCTGGCAGGTGGGTAGCCAGCCAAATGACTACCTAGGTTTAGTGTCACCTACATTTCCTTGCAGTGTGGACAACAGTTTAATGACCATGAAGGCTTTTGATATGGTATGTTCTAAATATGTAAAATTAACTTTGTTTTCTTTTTAATTGAAGCTATTTCCTATATTTGGGGTATCTAGAGATGAGCTTACAAATTCAATTTATTTTGTTCTTAGAGACTATAGAGAAGTATGATTACTTAAGAAAAAAATAACCAGGATTTATAAGTTCAAAAGAGAATTTTCTTCTTTATCCCATCAAAGCTTAGGGGAAAAAATGAATAGTTCTTTAGGGAGTTCTGTTAGAGTCTAAAACAAAATCTTGTGGCCAAGCATGGTGGAGCATACCTGTAATCCCAGAACTTGGGAGGCTAAGGAAGGAGGATCATGACTTGGAGGCTAGCCTGGGCTACACAGCAAGACACTGTTTCAAAAAAATAAAATAGCTAGATCTTTTAAATATTCCTCCTGTTGGCAAGTCTGCACTCAAGAGAAGTGAAACTATGAATTGAAAAGATTGATTTCCATATGTAAATTGTCTTTGAAGGTGACTAACAGTAACAGTACATTTGAATACAATGTCAAGTCTAGTGGGTAACTAACTGTGTTAGTGAACCCTACTCATTTGTATATTCAAGTTCTGGTATGTTTGGTTAAAAAAAAAATCAGTCTTAAAAATCTGATAATTTTAGCTTTTAAGTAAACCAAAACCTACAGTTTAATATAGAGAATTTCAACACAATACTTTCCAAAGGCAAGCTCTATATAAAAAGGGCTTTCAGTTTTATATTTGTGTTTTTATTGGCAATTTGCTGTTTTTGATAAACTATTTTTTCTACCAAATGGAAAAGAGTTGTGCATTTCAAGAACTCAGTTTTTTGCCAGTGTTTTTCCTACTTGGATGAAGGTACTGAGATGTGTCTTCATCCAACACTAGAGTCATGCGCCAGTTACCTTCCTTTCCCGAGGTATGCACTGATGAGGAAAAGTTACTTCACACATGTGTGACCCAGCATACGACTGTCTGCTGATACCCCTTACTTCCCTGGCAACATTGACTTTTTCTAAATCTTAAAACACAGCTATGCCCTGCCTATAATGAGACTGCTAAGCAAGTGACCACCTCAGGCCAAGAGATCCTGTTTTACTGCTGACCATATTCAAGACAAGAACTGTTTGTACCAGTTATGTTATGAATACACTGAGATGTTTAAAGTAGTTTTCCTCATGACTGTATTACATTCTGCACAACTGGTGATATTGAAGTTATTTTCATGCAGGTGAAAGCAACAAAAAGCAAAACAAAAAATTCTTCAAAGCATGAAACAGGATAACCTAAATAAATACAGTTCATTAAATGAATAAGAGCTATATTACCAAGAATGTTTGATATTTTTGATTGTGTATTTTGCCAATTTATTTCTAATTAAATTTTTTCAGCTCCTCCAAGGGGGTTCAGAGCAGACACTGCGCTCTTTACATCTACAGAAATCCCTTTCATCCTACAACTATATCCATGCCGGAGCTCAGCTAAAGGTGAGAATTTCATCTTTGAAACTGCTCAGCTACAAAATTGACATTAACTATCTGGCTGAGACTGCTGCCTTTAAGCCAATAAATATCTCTTTTATTCTGTTTGACTTTTAAAATTCTTAGGATCACGGATTCAGTATATTATTGAATTGACAACTTTGCTTAATAATCCATCACTATATTTTGCCACCATTTGACAGAAGTTTCTATGTTCAGTGTTTTAATATTGAATCCTGTTCCAGTTATTTTGACACAATAAAAATATTAGTAGGACTAGGAAGTCTACTGCCTAAGATTTCATATGATTTGGCCAAAGGCAAGTTGGTAAAACAAAACAAAATTAAAAAGCACTTTGATTTGTCATTCGCTGTTTTTTTTTTTTTTTTTTTTTCTCTTTTTTTGCCCAACATTGATTTTGATGTATCCTAGAACTAGTTATGTGACCCTTGGGCCATTCTTTCAAAATTATGCATTATCTCCCCCTTCCCTTGCATGCAGTGTGTACACACATATGCAGGCATATTTTTGCTCTTTTGTTTCCATAGTTTTCTGCTAGTCACTTCACATGGAATCCTAATAAATCAATTGTTTGTTGATGGTAGGTTATAAAGAAATAATTACATTATTATTTTGTTTTGTAGGAGGGAAGGTATATAAATGCATAGAATAAGATATGGAATACACAGATCACAATTTTAATTATACAGAAGGATGAGATTGTGGATATTTGTGTTCTGCTTTTCTACATGTTTAACTTTTCTTTAATAAAAACATGCTTTTTTAGTAGAGTGAAAAATAAAAAACTCAAAAGGTCTAAAGTTGGGGAGATTTCTTTAAAATTTTTTGTTCTGTTATTCATATTAGGCTAATTATATTTCCATTACTAGCTTAGCAATATTTTTATTGCTATGCATAGAAATCAATGATACTTAGGTTTTTGTGGTTAATTTTCCATTATTTAGGTTACACTAGCTTTTTACAGTTTACTAAGAACAGAATTATTTGGCAGAAAGTTAGTTGAAAATAAAACAATAGAGGACAGCACTCCAACTTTCTGAGAACTGCCTGAGATACTTTAAGATGAATAGAGGATTATAAAAGCAACACTTAAAAAAGACAGTGACTGGGAACATTCCTTTTCGATCAGGATGTCTCATTAGCCAAATTACTTTCATCTAGGTCTTGCAGAGTCCCTGTAGACATTAAGTATTAAGATTTAGGTTTTTTTCTAATTTAAATTCAGCTTAGGTTCCCTTTCTATTGAAGTTTTCCATTCCCATTTCCCCTCCTTTTTTTCTTTCTCTGTTAACAAAAACAAAGAATTACATGACCATAGTCAAACCTAAAGTTGAAACAAAAGAAAACAAAAATATACTTAAATTTTACCTTCCAGAGGTAATAAGTTTGTGTGTATTGTGTGCGTGTGTGTGTGCGTGTGTGTGTGTGTGTATATATAAAATATTCACACACATGTATAGGTATATATTTTTTTGAGACAATCTTGCTATTATATAGCCCAGGCTCACCTCAAGCTCCTGATCTTTTGCTTCAGCTTCCTGAGTGCTGGGAGTACAAGCGTGAACCATCATACCCAGCAGTTTGTGTGTATATCTATAAGTGAAATTATACAATAAATCCTAATTCAGTATACCTGCTTTTATTATACTACAACATAATCATTGTCATCTTCCTATGCAAACAGGTATAAATTAATAATTTTAACATCTATAAAGTATTGCATTACATACTTTAATTGTTCTTAAAATGTAGGAATCATGTACAATTTAAATACCTTGGGTTGCAGGGAAGGGAGGGTCCACTGAAAAGACTCCCAAAACAGGAAGAAACTTAACTTATCCCACATAACAAGCAGCCCTGAGATACAGCAGTTCCAGGGTTGGTTAATTCATTGCCTCAACAATCTTGTTAGGGACCCAGGCATTTTTTGTTTGTTTCCCCAACTTACAACTCTACTATACTCAGTGCACAGCATATCCTTAGTCTTGTTTTTCTCATGGTTCCAAAATGTCAGCAGCAGTTCCAGGAGTCACAGGCAAAAGAAATGTTCCTGGTTTATGTCCTTTTATAAGCCAGAGAAACTTCCCTAGATCCCTTCTTTAACCTCTCCTCACACTTTCCCTCATGGCTTATTTGACTAAAATGGCATCACATGTGCCCAGCGGGGTATGGAGAACAAGATGACCATGATTAGTTTAGACCCATGACACTTTACCTCTTGAGGCTAGGTGCAGGCCAATCAAGTGTACACTTGAAGAAGGTAAACAAATCTTGTTCTATCAGCAAGAGATGGGGGTAGGAATGGTTGTTGGGGAAACTGCAGTTTAGACATGTTTGTTCTTTTCAATTTGGTTGCAGTTTTAATAACAGTAATATCTGATATTTGAGTATCTTTTCTTGTGCTAGGAAGTAGGAAGGTACTTTATATAAATGCTCATTCAGGTCTTACAACAACCCTGTAGGAAATGTATTATTCTCCTTCTTTTGTCCATGAGGAAGTGAGGCTTAATGAGGTGAAGTATCTTGCCAGGGTAAAAAAACTGGTAGATAAAGGAACTTGCATGGTTGTCCCCTAGGCACCAGAGGAACATGTGCTCTTTAGGCAGAGAGGTCCCTTTCCTGTGTCCCTCCACATCAGACCAAGGCTTTGTGTCCCAGCAAGAGGAGGGACTCATTGAGAAAAGGCTTAGTGTATACCTGCCACTTTGGGAAAACTTGTAAACAGTTACCACTGTTTTATTGTGAATTTCTGTTTACAACACTATTATTTCCAACCTGATTTCCACATCTCCTAAAGGCAGGGGATTCATCTTTGCACTCCCCTGTTTCAGTTAGAATATCTGATTCACTAAATGCTTATTAAATGAAAGAAAACGTGAACTATGGTCCCAGACTACTAAACAGCTTGCTGAGTGACTGCAACTGGCTGCTTTGCTCTTGAGGGCCTACTTTTCCTCACCTGGGAAACAACAAACCTGATTATATAAGAGTGGGAGTGTTGTTGCCAGCCTGCATAGATAAATCATAGGACAGAGAGCCACAAATGATGATAACCAACCATGTATTTTGGAAATTTCCACATTCAACACTTCCGCTCGTGCTCTCACATCCCATGCTGTTGCCTTCATAGCTCATGGAGCAGTGGGTACTCAGCTTCACTGAGGCTCCCAAAAAATGCACAGTACTTATTTTAAGTGATGGCTTTTATGTACAAGTGCGCTTTATATGTGCTGAATGATGTTTCCACCCCTGAAATAATTTTTTATTTTCTCTGGATACTCATCATGCCCTCAAGTGATGTATTACAAAGTCATCCAGACATTGGCTAAACATTAGTTTCCTAACTGTTGGATTTTAATACTCATGAGAAATGTCTGACTTAAGTTTTCTATTTTCATTTCTAGTCTTCTATCAATGATGCTGCAGAATTCAAAGTAGTAGCTGATGCCATGAAAGTAATTGGCTTCAAACCTGAGGAGATTCAAACAGTGTATAAAATTTTGGCTGCTATTCTTCACTTGGTGAGTAGGGACACGTCTCAGAATATATATTTTTTTCCTGTGGAGATGGGATGCTCTTTCAGAAGGTTCTGTTTCTTCATGTAGGTTTAAAAAGTAATTTATTTAGAAAGAATTATAACTATGTTTTGAAGAAATTAGTCTGGTTCTCTCTACCATTTTATATTTTGAGGCCACTTTAGGTTTGTAAACTGTGCTTCAATTGTCTTACTTATATCATCACACCTTGAATTGGTTAATTTCCAGAAGAGAATTTAACAATAATCTGACTACTAATGGCATAAATTTCTAATGGCATTTGAAACATAGAAGCATAGATGATTAGAACTGGATTTAAAACCACCTCACTTTTTAAGTTGAGAAATGAACCCAAAGTGGTTGCATGGTGGCCTACAAGGTGCAGCCAGCTATCACAGAGCCAGCACTATAGACCAGTGTGGCAAAACATTGATAGGTTTGGCTGCATAAAAATGTAAAACCTCTGTCAAAGAAATGAAAAGATAGACAAGTGTCTGGAGAAGAGGAAAAATACAAATGAAGTGCTGGGCTTTCACATATGAACATATGTAATGTATTTAGGAAGACAGGTACAAATAAGGCCATTTAGATTATGTTTTAATTGACAGATATGTCTCTGATGTAATGTTTTAGAACATCATTGGAAATGGTATGTTTTGTTTTTTATCATTTTTAATATAGGGAAATTTAAAATTTATGGTGGACGGTGACACACCTCTTATTGAGAATGGCAAGGTTGTGTCTATCATAGCGGAATTGCTTTCGACTAAGACAGACATGGTTGAGAAAGCCCTTCTTTACCGGACTGTGGCTACAGGCCGAGACATCATTGACAAGCAGCACACGGAGCAAGAAGCCAGCTATGGTAGAGATGCCTTTGCCAAGGTGAGATTAAATTTGCATCCTTTGGGGTAGGGGTTGGTGTTGATCTCAGTTGTAGCATGAGGGAATTTCTGTGGGGATGTATTCAGATATCCATTGACAGCAGGCTAAGACTGTTAGAAACCATGATGAGCCAAGTGTGGCAGCAAGTCTGTAATCCCAGCTACTGGGAAGGCGGAGCTAGGAGGATCACAGTCTGAGACCAGTGCCATGTAAAAACATGAGACCCTATCTAAAAACAAAACTAAAAGCAAAAGGACTTGAGTGTAGCTCAAATGGTAGATTGCTTGCCTTATAAGTCTGAGCCCTAATTTCAATTCCCAATACCACCAAAAAAATAAAAAGAAACCATGATAAGACTTTCTAGCCATCACAGTCTCAGTGAAATCCCCTAAAAGTGAGCATCACTCCAAAAGAGCAAATCAGAACCATGGGAATGAAGATGTGAATCCAGGATACTGGCTGACTGTGGTCTGCTCTAGCCTACCTCTCCTGCTTCATTTCATACTGTCTTCGTCCCAGCATGTTCATCTTTCCTCAGGCCTCACAAGTTCTTTATCCCTTTCTCTTTCTAGCCACAGGGATGCTGTACATGCCATCCCTCTACTGGATTGCTCACCTCTCCCTTCTTGCCTTGCTACCTCTTACCCATCTTGCTGACCTCAGCCCAAGCGTTACTTTCTTAGAGAAGGCTTTCCTAGCCTCCCTGAACATTAAATAGGTTAAATTCCCTTCAGATGCCACATGCCTCAATTTTTGCTTGTGTAAGCCTGTGTGCATGTGTATGTGCATGTGAATTTTTCCCTCACCCTACTCCCTAGGTGCCTTGGAGACTGGGACCATTTCTATTTGCTTAGTACTTTATCTCCACTAAGCTGTACCTAGAAAGTGCTCAACAAATATTTCTTGAGCAAATGAATGAATTCCTAAGTATCTGATGCCATTTATTTATGGTTCAAAGTAGGGTAGGGACAGTTTTTGAATGTGAGAAAATCACGAGTCCTGACAGAACATGAGTTTGAGATGGCTGTGAGATATCTCAAAGTCATTGTCAAGTAGAGTCAAGCTTGTGGGTTTGGAGCTGAGAAGCTAGCTCTCTTTGAGACTGGGTTGGGATAACACATTTGGGAGTCTGTTACATTAGTATTATTTAATACTTGGTGCAATGACAGTGTGTTAGAGAGTGAAGAGGACCAGGAAAAACCCCAACTTTTAGAGGTCAGATAGAGAAGGAGACATACCAAAGGTCAACCAGAAGGTCAGCCAATGAAACAAGAAAATTAGGGAACGGTAGTATCTCAAATCCTAAAAAGGAGAGTATTTCAAGAATAGAGTGGAAAACTAGGTTGAGTGATGTGGAGAAGCTAAGACATCCATTTAGAAGTACAAGAAAAGTGTCTACATGGAGGTGCTTGGGGTCCTTGATGAGCCAGGTCATTGTAGTGATAGGATGTCAGTGAAGACTGGAATAGATTGGAAAGTGAAGGTTGAGTGAAAACTAGAGGCAGTGTGTCTATGTGAAGAGCAGTGACTGAGAGAAATGTCAAGGACAGGTTTTCTAAAGGTGTGACACTGCAGAGCATAGTGTATGAGGGCAGGCATGTGTGCTGTATCGTGCCTTAGCATATATATCCTTGCATAACAGATGTATATTTGATTTTCATGGTGTTTCAAACCTTGACCTTTTGTCTCAGATCCTTATTTAGTATTATAAGTTGATCACTTATATTTTTAGAATTCATAGAGCTTTAGTGGAACATAGATATTAACTCATTAGTTCCCAAATTCTTTTTTCTTTTCTTTTCTTTTTTGGCAGTGGTGGAGTTTGGAAATGTTTTTGTTTGGGGGGATTTTTTTGGAGAAGGCAGTACTGGGCTTTGAACTCAAGGCCTCACATTTGCCAGGCAGACGCTCTACCATTTGAGCCACTCTGCCAGCCCTTTATTGTGTTGGGTATTTTCGAGATAACTATTTGCCCAAGCTGGCCTTGGACTGTGATCCTCCTGATCTCTCCCTCCTGAGTAGCTAGGATTACAGCCATGAGCCACCTGCACCCTGGAGTTCCCAACTTTTTATAGTTGATAAAATTAACAATAAAACAATGAAGTGACTTATATAAGGAATGGGGCATGAAACATGTCTGGGGAATTTTGGAATATATATAGTATCCAGTAATCTTCTAAAAATCCAAACTGCTTGCTTTACTTGGCATACATCTTATAGTTATTTTTTTTAAGACACGATTTACATTTCTAATTGCTCTGTTTAGGCCAGTAATAACTATGGAGGACAACAAGGAGAAGGTGGATAGAAATTTAAGACGTCACAAATCCAGAGGATTCCATTTCTAAACTGGCAAGAATTTATAGTATTATTTTTCTCACAGGCAATATATGAACGTCTTTTTTGTTGGATCGTTACTCGCATCAATGACATTATCGAGGTCAAGAACTACGACACCACAATCCATGGGAAAAACACTGTTATTGGTGTCTTGGATATTTATGGCTTTGAAATCTTTGACAACAACAGGTAAACAGGATAAGTAAGATACCTAAAACTCTCTTGCTTATCTTGCATTTGTTTAAACCTAATTTATTCCATTTTGTATAGCTTTGAACAGTTCTGCATCAATTACTGCAACGAGAAACTGCAGCAGCTGTTTATTCAGCTGGTTTTGAAGCAGGAGCAGGAGGAGTACCAGCGGGAGGGGATCCCTTGGAAGCATGTGAGTGAACTTGTGCAAAATGTCCCCAGGTGTTTCACATATTGTCAATAACATCAGATCTTGTCATTTCAGGTTTTCTTCTAGGGTACTTGAAACATCTGAATCTTAACTCTCCTTTTAGGGGTATATAAATCCAGTTCATCTTTAAGGTTGTTGGTAGGATTTCTGTAATTTGATAGACTGCCTTGTTGGTGCAGTCTAACATTTTCACTTGCATGGCTGATACCACACAGGCTTCCTGGTTCTTATGTGTCTGTTATTGTTTAGAGTCATTCATTGTTAAGTTTTGCCTTAAATTGGCCAAAATTTGCCTTCAAATCTAGTTTTTGTCTCCTTCCCCCTTCCTTCTTTTTGCTCCTCTACTTTGTAAGCTAATTGGCATTTTATTGTCTTGAATTACTGATATTCATATTCTCTAAACCTGCACATTAGAACACCTGTATTAACTTTCATCTCTATTTACTTTCCTTTGTGATTTATCATGGCTCTTTTTGAACTTGTATAATTGTCAGAGGCAAACTGGTCTGGTGAGATAGAACCAGAGGGTGTGACTTGTCCAGTGGACAAACCCCAGAGCTTTCAGCTGACAGGCATGACTTGTTTGGCTTTCTTGTTACCTACCATTAGACCTCCTGCTCACTAAGGAATGAGATTTAGTCTTTTTTCTTATAATTTTGTATTTTAAAACAATTTTGAGTATAGACTTGAAAACTGCAAAAACCTCTGGTTTCCATGCATTTCTGAGTTTATAAAACTGTGTTTATTCTCTTGCTACACAATAAAAATAAAGTCAGTATTTGCTTTTATATCCAATGTAATAGCAGTACAAAGCTATTTGAAATGCCATATTTATATTGCTTTTATTTCCTTTCTGCCTTTCTATTTTCCATTTCCTCTCATTCAGAAAAAAAAGATAAAATGACATAATAAATAGCTTTCCTCCCTGAAATTGCATCATTACATTCCATCATGCATTAAATATTAGAATATCACAGAGCTCCTGCAAAACAAGCAGGAGTTCAAACCTCAGTATCACCAAAAAAAAAAAAAAAAAAAATTAGAATACCATAAAAAAACCTTGTCAAAGTATAGTAACAAAAATTCTATTTACAAATAAGTTAGAGATGTGAGTCACTTTCTAAAAGAACTACCTATAGTTTGATTTAAATATTAAACTTTCATAGCATTTAAAGTATAATTCAACTCAAATAAGTTTCTAAGAATGTATCTGTTGTATAATCTACACTATAACTGAAGCTTAGATTTTTGAAGGCAGGTTTTTTTTTTCTTTTATTATTCATATGTGCATACAAGGCTTGGTTCATTTCTCCCCCCTGCCCCCACCCCCTCCCTTACCACCCACTCCGCCCCCTCCCTTCCCCCCCCACCTCAATACCCAGCAGAAACTATTTTGCCCTTATTTCTAATTTTGTTGTAGAGAGAGTATAAGCAATAACAGGAAGGGACAAGGGTTTTTGCTGGTTGAGATAAGGATAGCTATACAGGGCATTGACTCACATTGATTTCCTGTGCGTGGGTGTTACCTTCTAGGTTAATTCTTTTTGATCTAACCTTTTCTCTAGTACCTGTTCCCCTTTTCCTGTTGGCCTCAGTTGCTTTTAAGGTATCTGTTTTAGTTTCTCTGCATTAAGGGCAACAAATGCTAGCTAGTTTTTAGGTGTCTTACCTATCCTCACCCCTTCCTTGTGTGCTCTCGTTTTTATCATGTGCTCATAGTCCAATCCCCTTGTTGTGTTTACCCTTGATCTAATGTCCACATATGAGGGAGAACATACGATTTTTGGTCTTTTGGGCCAGGCTAACCTCACTCAGAATGATGTTCTCCAATTCCATCCATTTACCAGAGAATGATAACATTTCGTTCTTCTTCATGGCTGCATAAAATTCCATTGTGTATAGATACCACATTTTCTTAATCCATTCGTCAGTGGTGGGGCATCTTGGCTGTTTCCATAACTTGGCTATTGTGAATAGTGCCGCAATAAACATGGGTGAACAGGTGCCTCTGGAGAAACCTGTGTCACAGTCTTTTGGGTATATCCTCAAGAGTGGTATTACTGGATCAAATGGTAGATCAATGTCTAGCTTTTTAAGTAGCCTCCAAATTTTTTTCCAGAGTGGTTGTACTAGTCTACATTCCCACCAACAGTGTAAGAGGGTTCCTTTTTCCCCACATCCTCGCCAACACCTGTTGTTGGTGGTGTTGCTGATAATGGCTATTCTAACAGGGGTGAGGTGGAATCTTAGGGTGGTTTTAATTTGCATTTCCTTTATTGCTAGAGATGGTGAGCATTTTTTCATGTGTTTTCTGGCCATTTGAATTTCTTCTTTTGAGAAAGTTCTGTTTAGTTCACTTGCCCATTTCTTTATTGGTTCATTAGTTTTGGGAAAATTTAGTTTTTTAAGTTCCCTATATATTCTGGTTATCAGTCCTTTGTCTGATGTATAGCTGGCAAATATTTTCTCCCACTCTGTGGGTGTTCTCTTCAGTTTAGAGACCATTTCTTTTGATGAACAGAAGCTTTTTAGTTTTATGAGGTCCCATTTATCTATGCTATCTCTTAGTTGCTGTGCTGCTAGGGTTTCATTGAGAAAGTTCTTACCTATACCTACTAACTCCAGAGTATTTCCTACTCTTTCCTGTATCAACTTAAGAGTTTGGGTCTGATATTAAGATCCTTGATCCATTTTGAGTTAATCTTGGTATAGGGTGATATACATGGATCTAGTTTCAGTTTTTTGCAGACTGCTAACCAGTTTTCCCAGCAGTTTTTGTTGAAGAGGCTGCTATTTCTCCATCGTATATTTTTAGCTCCTTTGTCAAAGACAAGTTGGTTATAGTTGTGTGGCTTCATATCTGGGTCCTCTATTCTGTTCCACTGGTCTTCATGTCTGTTTTTGTGCCAGTACCATGCTGTTTTTATTGTTATTGCTTTGTAATATAGTTTGAAGTCAGGTATTGTGATACCTCCTGCATTGTTCTTTTGACTGAGTATTGCCTTGGCTATTCTTGGCCTCTTGTGTTTCCATATAAATTTAACAGTAGATTTTTCAATCTCTTTAATGAATGTCATTGGAATTTTGATGGGAATTGCATTAAACATGTAGATTACTTTTGGGAGTATCAACATTTTTACTATGTTGATTCTACCAATCCATGAGCATGGGAGATCTCTCCACTTTCTATAGTCTTCCTCAATCTCTTTCTTCAGAAGTGTATAGTTTTCCTTGTAGAGGTCTTTCACATCTTTTGTTAGGTTTACACCTAGGTATTTGATTTTTTTTGAGGCTATTGTAAATGGAATTGTTTTCATACATTCTTTTTCCGTTTGCTCATTGTTAGTGTATAGAAATGCTAATGATTTTTCTATGTTGATTTTATATCCTGCTACCTTGCTATAGCTATTGATGATGTCTAGAAGCTTCTGAGTAGAGTTTTTTGGGTCTTTAAGGTATAGGATCATGTTGTCTGCAAATAGGGATATTTTGACAGTTTCTTTACCTATTTGTATTCCTTTTATTCCTTCTTCTTGCCTAATTGCTCTGGCTAGGAATTCCAGTACTATGTTGAATAGGAGTGGAGATAGTGGGCATCCTTGTCTGGTTCCTGATTTTAGAGGGAATGGTTTCAGTTTTCTCCGTTAAGTATAATGCTGGCTGTAGGTTTGTCATATATAGCTTTTATAATGTTGAGGAACTTTCCTTCTATTCCTAGTTTTCTTAGAGCTTTTATCATGAAATGATGTTGGATCTTATCAAAGGCTTTTTCTGCATCTATTGAGATGATCAAGTGGTTTTTGTCTTTGCTTCTGTTAATGTGGTTTATTACAGTTATTGATTTTCGTATGTTGAACCACCCCTGCATCCCTGGGATGAAGCCTACTTGGTCGTGGTGAATAATCTTTTTGATGTGTTGTTGAATTCGGTTTGCCATTATTTTATTGAGGATTTTTGTCAAATGTTCATTAAGGAGATTGGCCTATAGTTCTCCTTTTTGGAGGTGTCTTTGCCTGGTTTTGGGATAAGTGTAATACTGGCTTCATAAAATGTGTTTGGCAGTTTTCCTTCCCTTTCTATTTCGTGGAACAGTTTAAGGAGGGTTGGTATCAGTTCTTCTTTAAAGGTCTGATAGAATTCAGCAGAGAATCCATCAGGTCCTGGACTTTTCTTTTTGGGGAGACTCTTGATTGCTGCTTCAATTTCATTTTGTGTTATAGATCTATTCAGGTGATTAATTTCCTCTTGGTTCAGTTTTGGATGATCATATGTATCTAGAAATCTGTCCATTTCTTTAAGATTTTCAAATTTATTTGAATATAGGTTCTCAAAGTAGTCTCTGATGATTTCCTGGACTTCCATGGTGTTTGTTGTTATCTCCCCTTTTGCATTCCTGATTCTACTAATTTGGGTTTTTTCTCTCCTCATTTTAGTCAGGTTTGCCAGGGGTCTATCGATCTTGTTTATTTTTTCAAAGAACCAACTTTTTGTTTCATTAATTCTTTGTATGGTTTTTTTGGTTTCTATTTCGTTGATTTCAGCTCTTATTTTTATTATTTCTCTCCTTCTTTTGTTTTGGGATTTGCTTGTTCTTGTTTTTCTAGGAGTTTGAGATGTATCATTAGGTCATTGATTTGGGATCTTTCAGTCTTTTTAATATATGCACTCATGGCTATAAACTTTCCTCTCAGGACTGCCTTAGCTGTGTCCCATAGGTTCCGGTAGGTTGTGTTTTCATTTTCATTGACTTCCAGGAACTTTTTAATTTCCTCTTTTATTTCATCGATGATCCATTCTTCATTAAGTAATGAGTTATTTAGTTTCCAGCTATTTGCATGTTTTTGTCTTTACTTTTGTTGTTGAGTTCTACTTTTACTGCATTGTGATCAGATAGATGCATGGTATAATTTCTATTTTCTTATATTTGCTGAGGCTTGCTTTGTGCCCTAGGATATGATCTATTTTGGAGAAGGTTCCATGGGCTGCTGAGAAGAATGTATATTGTGTAGAGGTTGGATGAAATGTTCTGTAGACATCTACTAGGTCCATTTGATCTATTGCATATTTTAGATCTTGGATTTCTTTATTGATTTTTTGTTTGGATGACCTATCTATTGATGATAATGGGGTGTTAAAGTCTCCCACAACCACTGTGTGGGCATTTATATATGCTTTTAGGTCTTTCAGGGTATGTTTTGATGAAATTGGGTGCGTTGACATTGGGTGCATACATTGATGATTATTATTTCCTTTTGGTCTATTTCCCTTTTATAGTATGGAATGTCCTTCTTTATCTCGTTTAATCAATGTAGGTTGAAGTCTACTTTGTCAGAGATAAGTATAGCTACTCCTGCCTGTTTTCGGGGGCCATTGGCTTGGTAAATCTTCTTCCAGCCTTTCATCCTAAGCATATGCTTATTTCTGTCGGTGAGATGAGTCTCCTGTAAGCAACAAATTGTTGGATCTTCTTTTTTAATCCATTTTGTCAAACGGTGTCTTTTGATGGGTGAATTAAGCCATTAACATTAAGCGTTAGTACTGATAGGTATGTGGTGATTCCTGCATTTAGTTGTCTTAGTTGTTTGAAGGTTTGATTGTGTGTACCTAAGTTGAGGTTACTCTCTACTGTCTTGCTTTTTCTTTTCCTGTGGTTTGGTGCTGCCTGCCTTTTCATGGTTACGTTGGGTGTCACTTTCTGTGTGCAGGATCCCTTGCAGAATCTTTGTAATGGTGGCTTTGTGGTCACATATTGTTTTAGTTTCTGCTTATCATGGAAGACTTTTATTGCTCCATCTATTTTGAATGATAGCTTTGCTGGGTAGAGATCCTGGGGTTGAAGTTATTTTCATTCAGTGCCCGGAAGATCTCACCCACGCTCTTCTTGCTTTAATGTTTCTGTTGAGAAGTCTGCTGTGATTTTGATGGGTTTACCTTTGTATGTTACTTTTTTCTCTCTCTCTCTCTCTCTCAAGCAGGTTTTATTCATAAAAACTTGTTATTCAGTATGATTAAGAGGTGCTAGACAAAAAAAATCCAACAATTCCAGAATTATCAATTTCTGTAAGCATAGTTTAATAAAGGGAAATGATAACAATGCAGGTATAAGCTACTTCCAAACATCTGAAAAAGGATCAACAACCCTAAAAATGCAAAAATTCTGAGCTAAGCCAGAAGTATGTATTCCAGTGGGAACAGAAGGATAGCCCCAAGGAAGCACTAACTACATGCAAGTTCCCACCCAAATTAGAATCTCTGTTCTGGGTATTTCCTTTGAAACCCCAAACTTCTTAGCATAGCAGTTCTTTTAAAAAATATTTTATTACGGAAAATTTCGAACATACATAAGAGGAAAGTATAATAAACACATGTACTATCACTGAGCCTTAATAGTTATCAGTAGATTACCTTTCTTGTACCATCTGTTCCATACCTACCTGCCCCTGGTCATTCTGAAGTGAATCTCAAATATCATATTATTTCATCTATAAATATTTCAGTGTATTTTTCTGAAACATTCTTATCCACAAAATTATTCAGAGTTTATTTAATACCAGATATCCAGTGTGCTCACATTTTATTTTTCTTGCTTATCTTAGCATTATTGTGATAACTGAATTTGGATCCTAATAATGTTTTTGCATTGCAGTTGGTTAATAGGTTATCTCTCTCTCTCTGTCTCTCTCTCATTCATTCATTCCCACTTATTTCTATCCCCCACCTGTCCTCTCTCTTCTGTTTGCAATCTTTTGTTGAAAAAGAGTATTTGTCCTATGACATTTTCCAGACTGGATTTTGCTAATTCCATTCTGAGGTATCATTTAATATTTTTTTATGTTCCTTGTATTTACTGTATTGATTTTTACATCTAGGGTCCTAACTAAATGCAGAAGTTTTTTCCCTGCCCCCACAGTCTATTTCATGGACTACATATGAATGTCTGTTAGGAGGTTTGTATGTCTGGTTATCCCTCTGACTCATTCATTTTTGTGTTTGTTTGTGGGACTAGAGATTGAACTCAGGCCTTCACACTTGCAAAGCAGGTGCTCTACCCTTTGAGCCGCACCACCAGTTCATTTTGCTCCCGTTATTTTGGACGTGGGGTCTTGTGAACTATTTACCCGGTATGGTCTTGAACTATGATCTTCCTGATCTCAGCCTTTGAAGTAGCTAGGATTACAGGTGTGAGCCACTGGCACTAGACTGACTCACTCACTTTTGAAATCTTTTGATGCTATAGCATACAAATCATTTTAACTATTGAAAATTTGACAATATATGAAGCTTTCTAAGAATGTATCTTTCGTACAATACACAGTATAATTGGAGCTTAGATTTTTATAGCAAGTTTAATCATGGAACCTGTTATTCAGATCCCATAGTCATAGCTGATAAAGTCATTGCATGAAATGCTATATTTGGAGTGGGAATGGGAGGCCAGAGCTCCAGGATGCTAGGCCATCCTATCACATCTCTCCTGGCTTCCTATGTCACTTAAGAAACCTCCTGGGAGTGCTAGGTTTTTAGAAGAATGTGTTTGGAAACTACTGCATTAAGCAGTGCTTGAGCAGCATTAAGCTTACAAACTAAGACTACTAGAGTCGTCAGCAAAGACCAGTATCTCTTAGTAATACAATTGAAATTTTAAGGCAATTCTTTGTCCTAGGACAGAAGAATTAGTCTTTAATTCCATAGTCCCAGAATCTAAAATGTCAGCTAGTAATCAAGAATTCCTGTTTTTTGAGTCTTTTGGAGATTTTTTTCCCCAAAGATGGAAATAACTTTTCTCCCCAGTTAAAAGTACAATAAGCAGCCATAATAAACATAAATATTTAGAGCAGGCTCTCTACCTCATTACCACTGAAGTTGTGGACCAGATAATTCTTTGTCACGGGAGCTGTCCTGTACATTGGAGGGGATTTAGCAGCATCCCTGACCTTTACCCACTAGATAATGTTTCTTCTTGTTACAACAATCCAAAATGTCTCCTAACATTGGCAAATGTCCTCTGGCAGGGAGAAAGTCACCCCAAATTGAGAATCATTGGTTTAGATGAACCAGAAAAGTATTTTTAAAAGAAGGTAAGAATCCCACTCCCCCATTTGAGGCTTTTAGTCTATGGGATGCAGAAGAGAACGTGCAAGGCTTGGAATGGAGCTGGAAGCTACAGACAACTGGTATAGGCGATGGATTTAAAAGCACTTAGCACTCTGTTATAAGTCTACAGATCTGAGAGGTGATTTTGGAGACAGTGCTCAGTTTAGGTACCTCCTAAGTGAGATGGGACACATCAGTACACACGATTAAGATGTTTGGTAATAATCTGCTCCTTCTTGAGGTGCAGTTTGCCTGAGAAAAGCCTGTGTATGCTCTCTGTGTATGGTGACAGATACACTGCAGATTCTCAGAAGAAACAGAGAAGCAGTTATAGGGAATTTTTTTCAGTGTCAAGTTGCTAAAAAGGCAGAAGTTATTTATAACTTCATTTGGCTCCTGGAAGTAAGTGAAAAGCTAATTTTTAGCTTTTATAGATCTCAGAATTAATTTTTGAAAACATTATACCCAGAAAAGTGTCAAAACTCTGTTAGACTCATATATGCTTTTTAACTTTGGAGTAGCTAGAGAAAATGCTCTTTTGGATTTTAGTCACTGAGGATCACATAACTAAAACTGCAAGTTCTGTGTAGTGCTTTAACTTTACTGTCAAGTAGTACATCAGATATATTGTTGGCACTTAGTGGAAGCTGAGTCTTGCAGTTTACAGCAAACAGGCTGGAGGACTGAAGAGTGTGAAAGAATGAGATTGAGTGTGGGATATGGAGACAGGATTAAACAAGAATTTGTAAGAGGAGAAATGTCTACCTTACAGTCTTTGCCTTGAAGGCCTATGCTTATCTCAGACAGTGTTTCATAATACAAAGTTAATGAAGAAATTAAAAAATAAAGCTGTGTTACAATGTGTGTTCATATTAGTATTAGGCCTCATTAATGCTGTTCCATGTGTGATGTCTTAATGCTTTTCCTAAGCTCCTGAAACAAAGGGAGGTACCCTTGTATTTTACCCATCCTGATCTCCCTCCATTCTCTTGAATTGCTTTCTTGCTGTGTCCTGCAGATTGATTATTTCAACAACCAGATCATTGTGGACCTTGTGGAACAGCAGCACAAAGGCATCATTGCCATCCTAGATGATGCTTGCATGAATGTTGGCAAAGTCACTGATGGAATGTTCCTAGAAGCCCTTAACAGTAAACTAGGCAAACATGGTCATTTTTCCAGCCGAAAGGTAACTAATAAGACCTTTCTGTTATTTTGATTTGTAAGATATTGCTCATTTTTGACAGGGTTAAATTTATATTGGGTTAAAAGAATGTCCACTCAAATAAGTAGAAAAGCCATAAACATCCATTAAATGATCTATCACTTTTAAGTTTTGCCTCTCTGGTTTACAGAATGAGATTGATATAAGTCAATAGTATCCGCAGGAGAGGGAGCTCCAGACTATCCAATTTGCTTACAAAATAGGGGGTGAAAAAAATGTACATGATCCTTTAGAAAGCCATGATTGTTCATTTATAATCCATAAGGTACAGAGTACCTTGTTCATATTGTGCCTAGTAATTTTTCGCCTGACTGATATATTCTGGCATGAATTTGCTTTTTGTCTCTTTGTATTTTCTAACGTTTGTAAATCCCATTTACCATCAATATGTGGGCGTATTGGGGTTGTTTTTGTTTGTTTGTTGTTTGATTTTTTTTTTTTTTGTTTTTTTTTTTTTTTTTTTTTTTTTTGTTGTTTTTTCCTAGTATTGTTTCTTTGGTTTTTTCAGTTATCCTGTGTTGTCTTTCTCCTGACAACTTTATGAGGAATTTCTGTAGTTTTATATTATTTTTTGTTTACATTGAAATGTACTGTTCTATTCCCTTAAATTAAATTTGGGTATTTTGTTTTAATATCTCTCTCCATTTTTTGTCATAATCTAAAAATGTCATAAACAGATCACATTTCTGTAATAATTGGTGGCAGTAGGGGTTATCAGACCTTTGTGCTGAGCCTTATGTGTAGCATCTTTGTCAATTATCTGTTCAGGAATCTGTTTTGGGGAGGAGCACCCCATCATCACCAGTCTTTCCCACAAATACAGATTTGTACAGCAACCATGAAGTGAAGGGAAAACAGGCTCCTGCTCCTTCACATCCAGAAAGAAAAGGGCAAGCATTTCTGCTCATCTGTAATTTTATGTAATTCTATGGCATGCTGCCATTTTTAACACGAATAAATCTATTTTCTGACTTTATCATCTTTGAAATTATATAATAAGAACAGAGAAATTCCACAATTAGCTAGATAAAATGCAGATCATCAAGAAGTTGATTATTGACTCATTCTTCTGTCAGGCTACAAGTTGGTCTTCAAATGCTGCAGACTGTTTATTGAGGTTCTGTGTTAAAGGTATTTCTTCAGTGATTCCCCCTTATACCTCAAATACCTAATACTCTCATTTTTCAGTCATTGGTGCTGAGGATAAAGCAATGAGCAAAGTCAGAAGCAACATAAATAATTTAAAGTGATTCATTTAAAAATGGCATAGTGTTTCTGGCAAACATCCTATCTGTAAGGGATTGTTCATAAATGTCCACTATAATCATAGTTCAGGTTTTGAAGACTCACCTAGAACTGTTCATACTAGATGGTAGATGGTCAGTATTTGTAAAGTTGGCATTGAAGTGTTCACAATCATGCCAAATAAATCTTATTAAATCTTTATTTAAATAAATAGCTATGAGTCTCACAGGAAAAATCAAATCTACTTCATTGTGGTCTATTACCTTGGCCATTTATATACCTGAATTAAATTTGTGACCCAAATATTTATAATCACATTCTGTTTATGTTTTGGAATTTTTTTCCTTTTTGTCTTGAGACCGGGGTCTTACTTTGTTGTCCAGACTGGCCTTGAACTTCTGGGCTCAAGTGATCCTGCCTCAGCTTTCCAAGTAGCTGGGACTAATAGCACATGCCACTAAGCTTGATTATAATCTCATTCTTTTTTGTTTGTTTGCTTGCTTGCTTGTTTTTGAGACAGGATCTTCCTATTTAGCCCAGGTACAGGCATGCACCACCACTCCCAGTTTATCATCTAATTCTTGAGAGCAACTAGATGCACTTTTAAGCACTTGCTTCTGACTTGGTAGAAAATACTAAACAGTAATTTATCTGTGATAGCTGCTGCTTCTTTTTCTTTTTTCAAAATTCCTCTGGAAACCCAGGTTTGCCAACCCTCAGACCAAGTAGGTCTTTTTTATCACATCCCCAGGGGAAGTATTGAGATGGGGATTTTTAAATTGTGTTCTTTTTTTTGAATTTTTGCTTAATGAAGGAAAGAAATGAATAACCAAGCAGTCAGGATATTTTAATCACTGTGAACACTGTGTTGAGCCAGGTATCCTCATTTGCCACTAGTTACTGATTGACTAGATTTAATAGCATATCAAAAAGGTTTCTGGCTTATAACAGTCATTTCATTTGGGGCTAAGTCTTTCTTATGCATTAACGTTACTGTGGAAAGGCATGCAAATGATCTGATAAATCATAAGTATTTTAAAACAAAAAAATTAAATGATAAGTACATAACTTATTGCAAAAGAAAGACAAAGAGAAATCTAAACTTTTGTATGTTCAGATCAGTCAAGCAATATATCCAAATAGAATAGTCCCTTAGTATCATTTCTGTCCTTTTCCTTTAGGGGTTTTATTTAGCAATGAGAACAACAAAAAAAAAAAAGGTTTTACAAAAGGGGTTAGGGAGAAAAAGAGGAGGGAAGAATTACATATTTTGGAGACTCTTCTGTATAATAAATGCTTTGGTATCCATAGTTCATTTAATCCTCAAGCAATTCTCAGAGATAAATAATTGTTAGTGAGTAGAGGACAGAGCCAAAATTTGGACCTTAAAAGTCTGACTGTAATTTCTTATAATTATTAACTTGTCAAATTAATAGATTCATTATTTCTTTAGCAATCTAATTGGGATGTTTGCTATTTAGCATTAGAATCTAAGTTGTTTTGGGCCAGATGTAGTGGCTCACAACTGTAATACCAGCTACTTAGGAGGTGGAGATTGGGAGGATCCTGGCTCGAGACCAGCCCAGACAAAAAATTCGCAAGACCCCCATCTCAACCAATTAAAAGAAAAAAGCTGGTCGTAGTGGTGCATACCTGTCATCTCAGCTGTGGGGAAAGCATAAATAGGAGGATCACAGTCCAGGCTGGTCCCAGCAAAAATGCAAGACCCTGTTTGAAAAATAAAACAAAAAAGCATGGGGGTGTAGCTCAAATGATAGAGCACCTTAGCAAGCACAAAGCATTGAGTTCAAACTTTAGTACCGCCAAAAAAGAAAAAAAAATAATAACCTAAGTTTTTTTATATAACTGTACTCAGTGCTATGTGGATTCTTAGATGTCTTAGAGTCTACAGTATACCCAGTGATCCTTCAAGGACAGATGAAGAAGTCTAGGTGCTGCAATCATGGAGCTCCCCTCCCCCACAGCCATATAAAAACTGCCTTTCCTTAAAATATTCCCCTTCATTGAGAAAAACTTGTACAAGATTGATCCTCTGAAATGGAGTCCCAGCTCAGTGGGCTGATGAGACAGTCTACTGTTTGCACAGGAGAGAAAAGATGTTACATTTAGTTCACAAGTTCTTCCCAAGGCTACCTCCTACTAGTTGTATGATCTCATGCTAATTGCTTAGCATCTCTGCACCTCAGTCTCCATGTGTGTAAAAGATAAATGTCATACTTTTAAGAGTAAGTTGTGAGGACTGCAAGATATGTGTCCCTAGCAGATAGCAAGCACTCAGTGTAGTCCTCCTCAAGTGGGACGTGGAGACTACTGTCAGGATGGGCTGGCTGCATTTAAACAGTAGCCAACATTTAAGTGTCAGAAGACAGTACAAATATGTCTCTCTCAGGGACCCAGACTTCTTCCATCATCTGTGCCATCCCCTCAGGAGCTGTCCTCTGTATCTAAATAGTACAGAGTAGAAATCAAACACCTTTTACCAATTTGGGCCTGAAATGGCCTCACTTCACTTCCATTGTCCTCAATCTGATCACTTGACTGTGTCAGCTGCAAGAGCAGCTGGTAAAGAATCTAGCTGTGTGGATTGCTGGTGAAAGTTCACAGTCTTTACCATGAATATCATGTATTTAAATGAAGACCCATATGATGTGATTTCATTCATGATGTTATGACTTGAGACATTATAATCATCTCATATTAAGTGAGCATATATTTTCAGGAAAGCAAAAATGTCTCTTTTCAAATTAACCTCCTTGTTGGTCTCTTAGCTCTGTGCCTCAGACAAAATCCTGGAGTTTGATCGTGATTTTCGGATTCGGCACTACGCAGGGGATGTGGTGTGAGTATCTTACCTTAGTGCCTAGCATGATGGCTGGCATGCAGCCTCCCTTAGAAAATACAGGTGGGGAAACCATCAACAGTTTGCCTTTTCATTTGCATTTTTTGTCACTTTGTATGTTAGTATACATTAATTCATTTGAAAAAAATGGCATAACTTTATTCATTCCTTTTCAAACATACATTGAGTACATACTGTGTGCTTATGCACATTTCCTGGCATAGCTGGTACTCAGTAAAAATCAATTGACAGATCAATAAATCTTGGAGCCATTTTAAGGTGTAGGGTAGAAAGGTGGATAAGATGGGCCCTGCATAGAAGAAGCTAGCAGTTTAGTGAAGGGTGTAAGAAGGGTATAATGAAGAAAGGATGTGCTAAACTAAAGAGGCACAAGGCATTGTGGGAGTAGTGAAGAACAATAAATTTGTGAGGAGTATGGAGAAATGTTGCTGGAGGAAGCAAAATCCAGGTTGAATCCTAAAAAAAAGAGAGTTAGCTAAGGGAATGAAGTAGGAAACGGAGGCAAGAGAAGGTATTGCAAGTAGAAGAAATTTTAGGCATAAAAAGGCCCAGTAAAATGTCACAGTGAAACTCCCTGTATAGCTATCTTAAACAAAAATATCTTTTGTCAAAAATGGAGAACAGAAAACTAAAACAAGTCCTGTCTGGGGGTTGGCACCAGTGTGTGGGGGGCGGGGGAGGATATAAGGGAAAGGTACTGGAAGGTGAGCATGGTGGAAATATTATGTACTCATATATGAAGATGTAAAAATGAGACCGGTTGAAACTATTCCAGGAATGGGGGCAGGAGGGATAAAGGAGAATGATGGAGGGCATGCGTTCAACTATGATATATCCTAAGAACTTTGGTAAATGTCACAATGCACCCCAGGTACAACAATGAAAAAAACAAAAAAAAAGGCCCGGCAGTGTAGACCACCCTGTATGTGCAGAACTGCAAGTAGCTACATAGCAAAAATAGGTTTATTGTATTAATTTTCAAATATTACTTGGAAAATAAAATTTTTACAAGCCACATTTTCTGATTACATTACAATAAAAATAGATATCAATATAAAAATATAGTTAGAAAATTTAACTACCTTAAGTGTATTAAGTTCCAAATGAACCTGTAACAAATTATCACAAATTGGTGGCTTAAAACAACAGAAAGCTATTCTTTCACAGTTCTGGAGGCCAGAAGTTCAAAGTCAAGGTGTCAGCAAGTCCACACTTCCTATGGAGGCTCCTCTAGAGGAGAACCTGCCCCTTTTTTCCAGCTTTTGGTGGCTATGGGCATTCTTTGGCTTATGAGTGTATCACTCCCTTCTCTGCCTCTATGGTACATTACCTCCCCATCCTTCCTGTGTCTGTGTTAAATCTCCCCCACCTCCATCCTAAAAGGACCCTAGTGATGATAATTAGGGCCCCCCTAAATTCTATAGGATAAGCTCCTCCCCTCAAGATCCTTAATGTAATCACATAGTTTACCATAAAAGGTAGCATTCCCAGCATCCAGGGAATTTGACATAGATATCTTTTGATATGGGGGTGGCGGGAGTGTCACTTTTCATCTATATTTAGTATGTATTCACTGTTCATTCAACACTGGTCCTCATCTTACTGTTTAAAGAACTCTTTTTCCTTATTTCTTACATTAGGAATTCTTTCCATGTAACACATTATAGAAAGAGATTAAACCAGAAAAAAAAAAAAGCAAATTATCATCTCTATAAATTCTGAAAAGATATTTGAAGAAATTTTAATAGCTATTCCTGATTTAAATTAAAACTCTAGAATCATAAAATAATGTGGCTCAGAATTATCACCCCATCTATCAAACTAGCCATCAGTTCTGGAATGGCATCATTACCCACTTTTTCTGGTCCTGTTCCCAGGTTCCAGAATATCAAAGAGAGAAGATCCAGTACCATACAGGTTCCCACTGAAAATCTAAGTTTTACAAAGGTACAACTCAGAATAACATAAATGCAGAGTCCTTTGAGATGCACAAAGGCCTTTGAGAGCCCAAAAATAGCCTCTTGGTTTTACAGAGGAAGAAACTTATGCAGAATGAGTAGAACTCTTAACCAAGGTCACATACCAAGTTTATGGAAAAATGGAGACAATGACTGTTTCCAGATTCCCAGCCTAGAAATATAGCTTATATTCAATGCCTCTGACTTCTTTTTTTCCTTGGGCCCTTCAATTCTTTACTGGATTTTTACTGAATACCTTCTGTGTGCACAACACTTTGTGTGATCCCTGCCCACAAAAAGCTTTCCATGCATGATGCCTATATATGTATAGATGCATATATATGTATATATATGTGTATGTATTTATGCAACACACATATATAAATACACATACATGTATGCAATGAAATAAGGTCGGAAATAATTTCCATGTAAGTCAATTTTGATACATATTGTCAAAATTCATAGTAAGAAAACACTGTAATATGTTTAACTGTTGTGGTAAACCTAGGGAGGCTGATGTTGGGAATTATTTTTATAGGAAGAGGTGGGAAGGGTGCTAAAAAAAATTCAGAAATAGCAATAAGATCTCTTTGATTAGTCTATCCTTTTTGTAGCACAGATTAGAAATGCCTAGAAAAATAGATTGAGATCAAGTCACAGTGAATCTTGAAAGCTATACTAAGGACTTTGAAGTTCAAGTTGTGTGGGTTTGATGCAGATTGAATCAAGCGATTTCAAGAGCTCAATCAAAAATTACAGGAGGGTATTGGGAAAAAGACCTAGGTTACACAGGCAAGGAAGTGATTGTGAATGTGGCAGCCTTCAAGTCACCTATAGTCGGCCAGCCTGAAAGGATTTCCTTGCAGAATTAAATATATAAGGCAAGGGGTCAGGGTTAGAGGCCTGGGAATTGTCTGTGTCCTTGTGATTGCCAAGGAAGAAAATGTAAACCAGCAAGAGAGCGGAACTTTAAGGTGAGGCTGCATGCACTATTTGCTCAACCTCCTACCCAGCTACTAAATCACCCAGAGTCCCAGTTACTCTTATAGCCCAACATGGAGTGGCTCCCTCTAGAGGCCTTGCTAGTCAGTACAGTGTCTTACTCTCTCCCTTCCCCCAAACCATGCCTACTGGGTTCATTTCTCTCCAGAATCCACTGCATGTGCCTGCTTCCATCTTTCCTTCATTCTGCCTGTTTTCCTGTGCTGTCTGCAGGTCTTTTTCTCCTCTGCTTATCCAGTTCTTACCATCCTTTACAGTTCTTCTTGGACTCTCTTATCCTACTCTGAACACTGAATGATGCTTAGGCAAGTCACTTGCCCTCCCCACGGATGAGACAATTAGTCCCCGTATGTTGCTGTTTTGCTTTTATCTTAGGAATGCTGGATGATAAATACAGCTATCTTTTTTGAAGTCATCATCTTGAGGTAAGCAATAAGCAGTAGAAAATGATGATTTAATCAGAGTGATGGAACTGATGCTGGCTCTCCTTCTGAAGGGGTGAAGTTACTTCTATTTAGGAGACACATTTGGTGTCCTGGAACCCAGAGCCAGGTGGACAATACCAGCTTTTTAGGTGATTGCTTGCATAATTAACAGTGGAAAGGCTTGTAGACTTCTAGAAAAGCTCCAACTTTGCTCTTGCATGATGAATAATGCCTGTTTTCTGTGTTTTCTCTCTATCAGCTATTCTGTCATTGGTTTTATTGACAAAAATAAAGATACATTATTTCAAGATTTCAAGCGCCTCATGTATAACAGGTATGATTGATATTTTACTAATTTTTATATTAAGCTCTTTGACATATATTGCACATGAGTGTGTGTGTATCTTTTTAAGTGACAGTTTTAAGAGTTTCTGGCAGATTTTCTAGTTCTATTTCATTATGCTTAATGCAATATTGTATGACCTGAGAATTATAAACTCTATAAACTTAGGGCAGGGACCTGCTACTAATATGATTTTCTTTGATTTCCCTTGGGTTGCCTCCATTTCTCTGTTTGCTGCTGGCAGCCTTCTGGCAGCCTTACTAGTATACTCAGTAGTCTCCAGGCCAGGCCAAAGGTGGCAGAAGAAGTGGCAGATAATCTCTGGCCCTGCCAAAAGTATTACATTCTCAGATTCCCACGGTAGTATCTCTACACAAAAATATAAGACACTCTGATATCAGACTGGCATCTACATCAGTGAGTACTGGTCCCAACTGAGCAGACAGATTTTCTTATGAACCAACTAAATATGAAAAGCTGGCAAAACAAAACCAGGCAAAGGATGGAAGTTTAAACACAGAATGGAAAGAAGCCTCAAAAAAAAGAATTTTTGACTAGCTTCTTATAGATTAAAGAACTATACTCATTCATTTATTAAGTCTACACAGTCACTTGGTCAGAAGATTATCAAAAATGCATTGGGTACCTTTGAGCCACACGTTCTTCTATGCTCTGGAATACAACTTAGAAAACAATTTAGGCAAAGTTTTGAAGTCATCTTCTTGAGGTAAGCAATAAGCAGTAGAAAATGATGATTTAATCGGAGTGATGGAACTGATGCTAGAACTTATAGTCCAGTGAAGGTGACAGTTAATAAATAAGGAAACCACTTTCAGGGTTGGCAAGTGCTATGCAGAAAGTAAAGTAGGTAAGAGACTGAAGAGTACAGATGAGGAAAGACAGGGAGGCATTATAGATAGGGTGACCAGAAAAGGCTTCTTATTAGAGGTTACATCTGAGTAGAGATATGAATAAAGTGAGAGAGGGAGCCATATAGGTGTCTGGAGGAAGAACATTCCAAGTAGACAGAACACCTGTTACTAAGGCCCTAAGCTGGAAATGAGCTTGAGTGTATTTACATAAGAAAAGACAGCAAGGTAAAGATAAAATGGGAAAAGAAGCCATCAGAATGTATGATATGGTTTATATTGTAAAGAGATCACTGGTGCTGCTGTGTAAAACATATACTGAAAGGGGCAAAAGTGGAAATAGGGAGACCATTTAGGGATCTGGTTCCACAAACCAGGCTGAGACTTGGTGGCAGTGACAGACATGATTGAAAGGGGTCAGACTGGTGACACTGTCACCAGTAGAAGGTTATAGACATATGAGAATAGGAGAGAGGTCTATGCAAGAGTTGGGCATAGAGAAAGCAACTTGCAGAAAGGATAGGGAATGTCAATGCTTAGTTAATCAGGTAAGATTTACCCATTTTGAAGGCCAAATGGAAGACTCTTGCATTTCTCTGTGTAGAAAATGTTAGCTCAAATTGGAAAAACAGCCTCAATTTGACCACTGGCAATGTCACAGTGTACTGCAGGCTTGTGTCTAAGAGGCTACACAAAGCAGTATTCATTACCTTCCTGACCTTTATCATGGCCAAGAGGTTCAGTTCACTGAGAACAACTGCACTTCTTAGTGGTGGACTGACATAACCCAAACTCAAAAGACCTGTGTAGAGACAAAACAGCATGCAGATTTATTTCCAGTGAAAAATCTAGCAGTCACATGGAATGGAATACTTGTGTTGGTATGACAGTTTGTTTTTTGCTATTGAGAAACCTGCTTGGGAAATCAGACAGCAGTGAGAACTCTTATTTATTAATTGACAATGAAAAATATTACCCATAGAATCTAGATGACTTAGTTGCTTGGTAAGCACAGTCAGAACAAAGGAACTTACATAACACAACAATTAAAAGCATCAGGCTAACATGAGTCCATTTTACAATAGGGCTGGTCTTATCAAAGGTGCAAAAAGATTGAATGCCTGTTGACTGCAACTTGTTGTACTTGTCTCCATAATGGAAAAGACCTGGCCAGTGAGATGGGAAACCTTGATTTTTCTTTTTTCTTGTTAAATCCATTCTACTCAATTCTCAATGGTATTTAGGTGGGCCACCTTTACCTATGAATACTTTTTCATGCTCTAACCAACCCTCCCACAATTTGAATCCATTCTTTCATTGTTTATGTTAATGTGACCCTTAGATCTCTAGCTCTGTAGACTTTAAGAGTACACATGTATTGAAATCAATGTGAGTCAATGCCCTGTATAGCTATCCTTATCTCAACCAGCAAAAACCCTTGTTCCTTCCTATTATTGCTTATACTCTCTCTACAACAAAATTAGAAATAAGGGCAAAATAGTTTCTGCTGGGTATTGAGGGGGTGGGGGGTAGAGGGAGGGGGTGGGGTGGGTGGTAAGGGAGGGGGTGGGGGCAGGGGGGAGAAATGACCCAAGCCTTGTATGCACATATGAATAATAAAATTAAAAAAAAAAAAGAGAAAATGAAAAATCAAAATAAAACACACACACACAAAAAAAAGAGTACACATGTATATATGCTTGTGTGTGTATAGGAAAGGGGCAGGCAGGTGGCTTTTTCTCTCGTTAGCCAACTACACAAACTTTTTCTCTCGTTAGCCAACTAAGATCTGCCTTATCTTTTATATATGAGGGTTCCTGGGTATGTTTCCTGTTTAAGAAAAGCATTCTGAGCCAGATGCCAGTGGCTCAAGACTATGATCCTACCTACTCAGGAGCAGAGATCAAGAGGATCATGGTTTAAAGCCAACCTGGCAGATAGTTTGTGAGACCCTATCTCAAAAATAACCAACACAAAAAAGGGCTGGCTGAATGCCTCAAGTGGTAGAGTGCCTTTCCTCTCTTCCTCCATCTACAGTGTGGTATGGGAATAGCCTCCAAATATGACCAACAGTAAATGAGGTGGACAAAGAATTTGGTTAGAAACTGCATAGACCCAAAGCCAGTGATCCTCAGAATTCTTAAAGTACACAAAGTATAGTTTTCTACCTTCTGGAAATTCTGACTAGTAGGTATTTGAAAAAACATCCAGAAACCATGTGCACTATAAGTGAATGTTTTGAACAGAACTTCGTCCTTCTCCCATCCAGGGGGAATTAGCGATGTCCTGAACCTGGGTCAGTATCCCTACAGAGGGATTAGGATTAGAATAGAGGCAATGCTATCACGGCAGTGTCCCTCAAATACCCCTCAGACATTTCAGTCAGTGCAACAACATTTACTCACACTTATAAGGTCCAACAAGGAATCACAGCATACGCATACAGTCAGTCACCTCGCAGGGCACCAGTAGGCAAGGCTTGTGCTTCCCGGGAATGAAGCCCCACCAAGCAATCAGTTCGTTCGGGCTGAGACTGAGACTGTCTGCAGGCAGATCCAGCACCCTACAGGGCAGCCCCTCCCAGCTGTCAGCAGTCAGTTGAGAGTGCCAGGAGCTCAGTTCTCTTGGGAAGGAGAGCTATCACCTCTCTTACTCGTGCGAGAGAGTTCCTCTGGCAAGGAGAGATGCATGCAAGAGAGAGTCCCTTGATGCTAGCACACGTTGCTCTGTTTATGAGCATCAGAGGATGTTGGAGAGAGCACTCTACTGTGCCTTCAGAAGGTGTCCTTTTTATGTGATTTTCTCCTCTAGGGTGGCCATACTGGGCACTATGTTGATTGCATGCCTTATCAGTCCTGTCCATATAGACAGTGTCTGGTGTTGGTGACAGCTGTTTATCTATAGTCCAGAATCTGGTAGCTCACTGATTCTAAACTGCGCTACACCCAAAGTTCAGACAACTTCGCAGCTTGTTAAGTGAGGCCTTGTGTTTTCTACAGTGGACAACCATTACCTTATCTCTCTGCTAAAGATAAAAATGGAAAAGTTAAGAAAAAACAATATACTTTTGTGTGTTCATTTTTTATTGATGTAAGTGTATGATTGGAAAATTATGGACTAGGACTATAAAGTGGTCAAACTTGGTCCATGAGTTGCAGATCACTACATTATGTTTATAGGCCCTTTGGTGGTAGTTGGCCCTGCGTATGGTGATGGTTTGGAGTGTTGATCAGTCTTCATTCACAGATCCAGTTGATCTTCATGTCATCACTTCTTTGCTCTGTTGTCATCCATTCCTTCATTTTACAGCTTTTATTTTGAACATGCACATTACAGAAATTCACTAGGTACTTTGGGGAGCCAATTCAGTTTTATACAAGGGAAAGAAAAGTAAGCACAACTAGCAGTGAATGCCAGTGTTAATTCTTTTCTTTTTCAACCCGCAAATTTATAAGAAAAAACACAAATTTTCTGACAAAAATTTCCAGAAAGGAAGCAACATTTTGAGTTCCAGTTACTTTAAAATGAAAAGTACCCAGGATGAAACAGGAAGAAAATCACAGTTGAGATCACCACACATACTTTTTATAATATCTCCATAGAGCCAAATAATGAATCTATAGTTTTTTGCATGGAAATTGGCCTGAAGTACTTTTTTAGAATTGAGTTGCAGTAGTCCTAGTGCCATGTCAATAAAAAAATAACGTACCTTTAAATATATTCATAAATTCAACTGCAGTAGAGGTATTTCCTAGAGGACAGTGTCAAAATGCTTATGTTATGTCCCTATCTATATTTTTAGGAAGAGCTGCTTTTTGTAGTGGACCTATTCTATATGAATATTCCTTTCCATGAGATATTTTTACTTTCATATTTTCTGCCATAACATTGAGAATCATTTTCCTACTAAGAGCTTATCCCCAATTTTTAACCATCATAAAGCCAGTTTGTTTTATGTATATATCGTAAGAGCCATGTTAACCATTTCAGGGTTCTTGGTAATAATACTATGAATGTTAGATTGCAGAATTAAAAAAAAAAATTTAATGTACTATAGTTTGGAAATTTTATGGTACGGTATTGGTCATTATATCTGCATAATTCTATACAATAATTTTTCCAATTAGGCCTTATGAGTTCAGTCTGCAGTCCAGCAGTGACTGTACTTGCAAGGTACAGTTCAGCAAGATTGCTTAGCCATTTTTCCTCATCTTATCTGAACGTGACATTTGAATTGCTCTTTCTGTGCTTTGCAGTTCAAATCCTGTGCTGAAGAATATGTGGCCTGAAGGCAAACTGAGCATTACAGAAGTGACCAAGCGACCTCTAACTGCTGCAACCTTATTTAAGAATTCTATGATTGCTTTAGTAGATAACCTTGCATCGAAGGTAATTATTCTCTTTTCTAATTGTCCATTTTACCTCGTAGACTTCTTGATGTGTTATAGAGAATACATGTGTGATTTGCTTTATATGTATTTATCTTTAGTCAAATTGAACAATATATACTTAAAATGTTATAATAGAATTTCTGTTCTGGCTTTTTTTTAACTTGCCTGGTGAAATAATTATTTGTATCCCAGATGAATGCCTTTATTAAATTTGAGCTTTTTATTCTTCTGTTATGGTCAAGGAGAAAATCTTAGGGTGTTTTTTAAAAATGCCTGGCAAAATTAACGTTAGCCCTGTGCTGAAAGACAGGGCACAGAAAAAGAAACCTTGAATTACATCATAGTAATGCAACATTCATATGTTGTGTTTAAATGGCCAAAAAGAATTTTAACAGGAAGTTTGTATGTAAGTATGGTCCTTAGACTGTTAAAATAGTTAGAATATAAAGATATATCATTGACAATTACCTTTGTCTTTTGTTTTTCCTTTGATCCCAATGCTAAGTGATAACTTAAGTGTGTCCTGGTTCTTTGGTTTTGTTTTGTTTTTCCTTAAAGAACAGATTTCTGCTCTTAACTACTGCTATTGACAAGTTTGATAAATTAGGCAGCATTCTGGGACTCATTATTTTTAGCTCCTTCATTTTTATCGTTCTTGTTTGGTACTTTCCTGTATATTTTCTCCTTTGTTATTATTTTTTAAATCAATTTCCTCTCTAAGAATTTAAATTTAAATATGTATTGTGTCTAGTTACTTTACTGTTGTTAAATTAGGCAAATGCAATAACAGCACATCTGTTCAGTAACTTCCTATTTTTTTCAGGATTCTTTGGCCTCAAGTGACAGTAAATAAGCATGGTTTGTTGGCTTATATAATGAAATTTCCAGAAGGGTAGGGTAAGGACACTGGCACCAAAGGCTAGAATGTCTTTAGGTCTCCTTACTTTTCTGTCTTCACTTCTCTCTGTGTGTCACCTGAAACCTGCTTTATCCATAAAGAGAAAAGTGAACCTAGAAGAAAGGCATGTGACACAAGAAAGTGCTGAACACTGAATTTTGTGCAGTATATTCAATTAACTCTAGTTACCTAGCAAAAGGTAACTTATTTTGTTTTCTAAAATTGGTGAAACTTTAAAAACTTTGAGAACCTTCTATGATTTCTGTATTGAGAATTACATTCAGCTTCTAGTAAAAGAGATGCCCAAATCAGCAGCTTAAATAACAGAGACCTTTATTTCTCTCTCCTGTATAGAGTATAAAGAAGGCATCCCAGGGCTGCAATAGCAGCTACAAGGTTAATAGGGGCCCAGGTTCCTTCTCTTTCTGTTCTCCTGTCCCAGTACTTGGAATCCATCCTCCTGTCCAAGATGGTAGCTGGAACTTCCTCCCTTTTAAAGAAACTTACAGGAAGTCTTACACAATCCCTTTGCTGCATAGTTGCCAGGGAATCTGAGAAGCAGCACTTTTATGCTGATAAGCAGCCCATCAAGCTAGAAATAGAAATTCTGTTTCAAAGTAGGAAAAAGATAAGAGATATAAGGTAGGCAACTAGGCTAACATTCTTTGCAGCAGCTTCCCAATAGAAGAAGACAAGGAGCAAAAGAATATAGACAACTTATTAGTCCATGGAAGTCAGGAAGGGGGGTGGGGAGTGAGAGGAACGAAGCAAAGGAAAAAACACTAGATTTAGAAAATACAAAATAACATGGTGAAATAAATTTCAGTAATTGGTATTCACCATAAATGTAAATAGTCTAAACAGATTAGGTTAGGTCTGTGGTACATGTAAGAGGACCTTACTCCCATATTTTGTTGCATCTTTTCTTTAGTGACTTAATCTAAAAGGTTAATATGCATGACTTAGTCTTCAATTACCAAAAGTGAAAATACAAATCCCTCACTTTCTCAGAGTCCATCCCCATGGTGTTAAAGTACACTGTCTAGTTTCCCCAGCTAGATTATCTGTTGGACAGGAAGAAGAGATTCTCTTAATATTGCGTACCTCTTGATAGCACTATTAAGTGCTATAAACAAATGGTCAACACATTATTAAATGAGCTTGAATTTGCCTTGACTGTTTAACAGTGTACAGAGTAGGTTGAATAGATGAATATGTAAATACATTGTCTTCTATCTAATGCATGCTTTCACAAATGATGCTTTTCACATAAAATTTAGGGAGTGACAGATTAAAAAGTTTAAGAGAGGGGCTGGTGGTGTGGCTCAAGTGGTAGAGCACTTGCCTAGAAAGCATGAGGCCCTGAGTTCAAATCCCAGCACCACAAAGTAATGAACTATATTTGCATATAACCTATGCACCTCCTCCTGTACACATCAAACCATCTCTATATTAAATTCTCTTTTAAAAAAAAAGTTTAAGAGAATAAGATCACTGTTAACTTTTGCAGTTTTGACCTTTGCACAACACCAAATTTGTCAAATTTAGGATTTCTTAGTCTGAGTCAGTCTTGATATTTATAAATGAGAGAGGAGGTAGCATTTATAAATTAAGGCAGAATGCTGACTAAGTATAGAGAAGTATTTCCAGTAGGCTCCTTATCCAAAGACATATATTAGTAAGTAGGATAAAAAAGCTTCTTCCCACCTCTTAGTTGGTCTTAGTATTTCATGCAGTGTTACCACTTCCTGTGCATATAATACTCAATGCTAGTACACTTCCATTCAAGTGGCTTCTGTTAAATAAAGTTGCTAACACTGCTTCAAGTGATGCCTTACACTAAGATCGCTTTGCCCCCATGATTTCATATATTATTCAGTTACAAAATAATTTCTACTTTACCTTGTAATATTTTTGACCTAAAGATCATTCAGAAGTATATTTCCTAATTTTCAAACATGAATGGTTTTCTAATTATCTTTTTTGTTCTTGATGTCTAGCTTCATCTTATTTTACCAGAAGATGTCCTTAAAATATTGTTGAATTTGCTTTATGTATATGTTTTGCTTGTATCTAAAAATAACTTTCATTCAGTATTCTATACAAGTCTCATTAGGTCAAATTTGCCAATCACCTTGTTCAATTTTTCTGTTTCCTTACCAATTTCTTTCTTTTGTCAGTATTGAAAGGTATATTAAAATATACTTTGATTCTGAATTTGTCTACTTCTCCCTGTTGTACCTTCAGCTTTTGCTTTAAATATTTGGAGGATTTATTAGGTTCTTTCAAGTTAAAACTGTTACGTCTTCCTAGTGATTGAGTCACTTGTCAATATGAAATGTCTGTTTCCACCTTGCTTTTGTCTCAAAGTCTACTTTGCATGAATAACACAGCGACACCACAGCAGGGATTTGCATGGTATATCTTTTTCATCCTTTTACTTTCAATTTCTGTATTCTCATGTTTCAAAAATGTCTCTCATAAATAGCATACAGTTAGTTTGGGGTTTTTTAAATCCATTATGACAATCTTTATCTTTTGAAAAAGTCCATTTATTTTTAATATAGTTACTATATGTTGCATTTAAATCAACCATTTCCTTGATGCCTTCTATATAACCCTTCTGTATATCTTTTTCCTTTCTAGCCATCTTTTAGACTGATTATTATAAGCAAAAGGTAAACAAAACTCTATTCCCACTGCTGGACAAATTAACCTCCATTAAATTTCTACCTCTATTCTCCTGGTAACCTCCTAAGATGTGTATCAACTAACTATATGAAAAAACAACACTGCTTATGGCAAAAATCATCCTATTGGTAAATTGCTTCTGTGTGGGACAATGATAAATGTTTGATGGGATGACACACTTGAGCCTTGCCTGAGCTCAGTGACTCTTGCATTGGCATGCCCTTTGTGGGGACTGTGGAAACTATATCTGCTGCGTTGTTTGAATTTGTTGGTTCCTATTGGCCATAAGGGATTTAAAGCAATGGTACCTGCTACAACCACCCTGTGAAGGTCTCTTCTTCTTGCACCTGACTTCCATGTGGACTCCTGCAAGTGCTCTGCCACTGCAGGCTATGTTCTTGACCTTCTGAGGAGATGGATGCTAAATATGACCCATGAGTCTTTTGAGTCAGAATGTTTAGTTTGACCTAAATAGGCACCGTCCCACCTCTCCCAGCATTAGAATTCTTCCATGTATTCCCTTTATTATTTTATAAGGTTGTCTTAATATTGTCATGGTAATTATTTGACTTACTGTAATACTATTTTTGAATACAATAAACTAATATTGTTTAGTACTTTTACCTTCTTCCTGGACAATGCAAGGCCAGTAAAACATTTTAATTTCATTGACACTCCTCCAAATTTATATGTTAATTGGTTACGTATTTTAGTAATATATATGTATTAATATATAAAGCAAGTAAGACATTGTTTTATATATATATTTGCGTATATATATATATATATATAATTAAAACCTATTTAGATTTATCCATTCATTTATCATTTCTTTTTCCTCTTATTATATTACTGACCTATCTGGGACCATTTTCCTCTGCTTGTTACATTTGAAATCTGAAGGTGGCAGATTCTCTTATTTCTGTTGACCTCAAAATATTTTTATGTTTTTTTTATTCTTGAAAGACGTCTTTGCTGGATGTGAAATTCTAGGTTGACCTCTCTTTCAGCATTTCAAAGATAATACTCCTTTATCTTCTGGATTCCATAGTTTCTTTTGAGAAGTCAGACATTAGTCTGTTGCTCCTTAAGGTAATCTGGGTTTGTTTTTTCCTATGACTGCTTTTCTTTGGTTTTCAGAAGTTTTTCTATATAATGTGCCTTGGTGTGTATGTGGGTTTTTTTTTTTTTTGGGGGGGGGTTGTTTTGTTTTGTTTTGCTTTTTATTAATCCACTTGGAATTTATAGGGCTTTTTCAATCTGTAGCTTGATTTTTTTTTTTTCGTCAGTTTTAGGAAGTTCTTGGCTATTATCTCTTCAAATACTTCTTTCTAGCACCTGTCCTTCAGGACTCCAAGTACATAGACTATTTCATTGTATTTTGTACGCCTCTTACCCCTCCTTTCCAT